CCAGTAATGTTGACATTTATCACTATCTTCAATCATCTGGGCAGAATGAGAGTCATACTATCATAGTAGAAATATTATTAATTTATGATATTGAGAACATTTACAACGAAGGTGTACTTTATGAATTGATTTTATTTCAATTATCTTTCTATTTAACTTATTTATTTCCAATAAATAATATACTGATGATTAGTTATGGTATAACAACTGGTACTTATTTCATTTCAATTTTGGTGTCAAAAATATAGAATAAACCAGAAGAAAAAATTTAAATAAAATCCTCATAGTGCAGAATATTATGCTCTTCAAAGAGAAATACAAGCATAATGATCAGATATTAGCTGGATAATCAGTAGGGCTGTCTAATAATCAGTAGGGATGTCTAATAATCAGTAGGGCTGTCTAATAATCAGTAGGGCTGTCTAATAATCAGTAGGGATGTCTAATAATCAGTAGGGATGTCTAATAATCAGTAGGGCTGTCTAATAATCAGTAGGGCTGTCTAATAATCAGTAGGGATGTCTAATAATCAGTAGGGATGTCTAATAATCAGTAGGGCTGTCTAATAATCAGTAGGGCTGTCTAATAATCAGTAGGGCTGTCTAATAATCAGTAGGGATGTCTAATAATCAGTAGGGCTGTCTAATAATCAGTAGGGATGTCTAATAATCAGTAGGGATGTCTAATAATCAGTAGGGATGTCTAATAATCAGTAGGGCTGTCTAATAATCAGTAGGGATGTCTAATAATCAGTAGGGCTGTCTAATAATCAGTAGGGCTGTCTAATAATCAGTAGGGATGTGTAATAATCAGTAGGGATGTCTAATAATCAGTAGGGATGTCTAATAATCACTAGGGCTGTCTAATAATCAGTAGGGCTGTCTGTGGCCAGCCTGCATGCTGCTGCTCAACAGATGTGCTGCTTGTTGTTTTCCAACTTAATAAGAGAGTATTCACAGAGTAACTATGCGTGTTTTTCACCACTGGAAACACTTTCAAAAGGCTGAATTTGTCATTCTCCGACAAGAGGAGAAAGATAAAAGTCTTTGAGTCAGCTCACCATGAACATGAGGTGATTATTATCTGTGTTACTCTGTGGTTATCGCAGCAGGAGAAAACAACAGGGATTTCTTCATGAGGTTTGTAGGCTCTGGGCTACATGAATTTGATTCTTCTTCATTTTGGTTGTGCTAATCATATTTGGTTAGGTCTTGTGTGTTTTTTGGGAATTTTGTTCTTAATTAAATTCAAGTATTTGCCATTCCTAAAACAAAATCCATGTAGCCTTTTGGCATTTTCATGCCATTGAAGACGCATTTTATGAACCATTGCAATTTGATCTGGGTGTTTAATGTTTTTTTTCCCCCCCTTGTGTTGGAGCCCCTTCATAATATGGATAATATGTCTTTGATCTACGAGTGTGCATCTTTAGGATGTAAAAAAAATACATCTTTATGATGACTCTGCAGAAATTGTCATAAAGGACATTAAAAGGAAAATCTACAGGCACCCAGAAGGATTTTTAAGACACCAGGTACTGTCAAAAAATATTGAGAGACGGAAAAATATTACATTTTCAGTGTTTTTTTTTCTATAGAACCAGAGTCTTTAATAAGAAAGTATATTCGTGTCACCTAGATCATAAAAACAATTTAATTTTAAATAGAATGATACCTGTCTAGTCCAGGTATCAGTAATTTGTGAACAAACCAAACAGTATTTAAACACTTTTCTATTTAGACAAGCTGAGAAGTGAGTGATTTATTTAACCATCACTAAAAACTAACTTCAACTCTTTTTCTACCAATAACTTAAGTATTTCCTCATAGTTTTACTACCTGCAAAATAGAGCTAACAGTTCAACACTATGATGGTATCATTTAAAAACAAAATAGAAGGCGAGTAAATCATGGATTTCCGGGAGACAATCCTCCTTAAAAACATCCACAATTACTCAGTGAACAACTTGCACATTTCCACGATGTGGGAAAATTTGTTTCCTTGCACTGCTTGGTAAACAATCAGCAGCTAAAAATAACCAAAAAAACCCCCTAAGAAACTAAGCCGAATTTAAGGTGCAGTAAGAAAAAAAAAGAGAAAGATTAATGAGCACTTGTGGACATTTGTCTTTCAGGCTGGCATCTGGCAAAGCTCCACAGCGAGTTGAAACAGGCCCTGCTGTGGTGTTTGTCATCCTGACTCCTCATCCATCATCATTAGCGAGCGCCATGGACTCCACAGCGTTTAATGCACTGGTATCTGAATAATTACCACAGATAAATAGATTAAAGGCCCTCTTCAGGGACATCTCAGCTCGTTGGAGAGAAGTGATGAATAAAACTGTGGATTGAGTCAAAGATTATATCAGAAAGTGCAAAAATAGACCGAATGGCAGCAGCAAAAGAAACTGGCCATTATTGCAGCAGATAAAGTGAGATTTTCTTCTTTATCTCGGCGGTGTTTGTGCGTGCTGATTAGGTTTCTTACAACACCTGAACGCCTGATGCAATCTGAGCCTTTTCTGCTCAGCAGCTATCAGAAGAATGTCTCGCCTGTATGGTTCAGAAATCATGTGGTTCTTACTTTATCCGTCAGCTACTGACTTCTCTTTTTTTTAATTTTTGTCCACAGCTTCTTGCACAATTAAGAAGTTTTGGGAAGAGTTTGCATCGTCCAAAATAAAGGAATACAGATGAATCATTCTGTCGCTGCCGTCATTTGTCTTCAGCACGCTGTCTGTGTGTAAATAACGCCGTCTCTGTGATTGAGGGTGTCAGCCAGCATGTGATTTGAAGGCCCATTTCCCGTCAGTCTGTCAGTGTTGTTTCTGTTTTGGACTCTGCTCTCTTCTGGACACATCACCGGTTTAATTCCCTGCATTGTTTAAAAGAGCTGTCAATCATGTGAAGTCATTCATAAAGAAAACAAACCCCGTGATGTATAAATACACTCCCCGACTCACTCAGTCACACTCACAAAGCTCGCTAAGCACATAAACAAACAAGCTGCAGGGTGAGAACCGGCACATATAATCGAAAGGAATCTGACTCTTCCTGTGGAGAGAGCTCCCTCCGTGATAACAAAACCAGCAGCAACAGCATAGTGACACACACACCAACACACACATACACACACCAACACACACAGAGTTACTGCTGTTCTTCATATTGAAGGCTGACTGGACTCACACTGAACGCTGCCCGCCCCGGTCCAAGCGAAAGGGTCCAGTCTGGAGAAGTAAGAGGTGGCCTTGCCCAGCATGCAGGAGCCCTGCCTGGACACATCGAAGAGGGGCCGAGGAACCAGCCCGAGAGCCTCCATGCAGTCAAACATGCTGTATCAGATCACAGAGAGCAGTGAAGCTGGGAGAAGAGCCCACAAAAAGAGCTTCCTGTGGAGTAACCTAATGCCCTGTTTGGTCCAGGTGTTCCCTATCTGTCTGCCACTGCCCCCTGGGCGTCCCGTCCTGCTCCCCCTCACATGAACCGAGCCTGGACTTTCCGCCGGCTCTTTCTCCTCCCTTTCTTTACCCCTGTCTTTATTCCAGTCTTTCTCTGCTCCTAGATCACTTGCTTGGCTGCCTGCTTTCGCTCTGCCTGCTGTAACTGATCTCACCTCCCCTCTTGCTGGCTCCGTGGGCCTCTCACACTCCAGCACACTTACAGCCAACTATCTGCTGTGGTGGTGGTGGTGGGGATGAGAGGGGGAGGGAGGAGCGGTGGGGTTCAGGGAGGGGAAAACAAGCCAGAGGAGGTGTGTCCCTCCTTTCTGATTGACCGGACACCAAACACCGCGTCCCTCCCTTTCTCGCTCCAAGTTTTCAAACTCACCTCTGTTTTTCATGAGCAGAAAATGAAAAGGAATATTTTTTTGTCTCCCTGTACTCTGTCCTTGTTTTTTGTTTTCCTGCTTCGGTTTTCATCGTGTTCTCTCCGGCAAACAGCAAAGCAGAGTTGCTTTCTGCAAAAGCAAAATATAAAAATCCCAACTCGTACAGATCAGCGGAGAGAAAAGTACGCAGAGAGAGAGAAGCACTTGAGCCAGCATGTCAACTTTCTCTGGAACTTGGGTTTACTGAAAGCAGTCAGCTCATTAAATGTGCATATGCAAAAGCCTCACTCACAAATATGCACAACCTGCAAAATGGTTTTAAAGTAGTTATTTGTTTTATTTGTAAAATGTACTTAAACTTGCTTCCTTAAATTTCATTGAAATTGTGCATAAAATCAACAGCATGATAAACGGTTGGGCAGATGATCAGATAAGTTGAGGTTTCCACTGTGATGTGATGAAATGTATGCACTGTTTATTTCTCCCGTAATTATTCAACATTAATTAGGTCATTATTTTCTGGTTTGAGCTCCAGAGTTGTGTGTCGGACCTGCGCAAACTTGCCAAATCATCTCTGCGAATGCTGGTCAGTTTTCGGTGGAGGCAGCGTAATGCGGTAGCATTAGTGGAAATTCTGCAACTCTCCTCTCGTAGAAATCAAACTCTATCCTCCAAGACATAAATAATTGCAGGACAGAGCGGGAGCCCCCCTACACAGCAGGATTTATCAAAGACTATCTCCAGAACGTCAGTGATGAGGATGAAATGCAGTGGCAGCTGGCGAAAACAAATCTTGATAGGGCTGACATGCCAATAAATGTCTCTTCCCTTCCTACAATTCCACAATAATATATCATTCTCCATGTAGCAAAATAGCACGAAGGGTTAGATCAGCTAAAAGTAAAAGATCTGATCGCAAAATTGCAAAATATATAGTATGTGGTCATTAAATAACTGTTAACAGCTAACATAACCTAGAAGATTAACATCAGAACAAAATATTATTATGTCAACAAAACATCAGCATAACAGCAGGAGCAACTCACAGCAACATTTATCCAGAGCAGCATTAGCATCATGCTAAGCATCAAATAAACAGCAGCAGCAATCAAACTGCCATAGTCACCATGACAACGCAGAACCGTTCTGAGCTCCCCGTTAAATTCTTTGAAGCTGATTGGTTAAATGTTTATTATTTTTCCCTAGCAACCACACACAATTGGCTGATTAGCTTAACTTCTCGGGCGCTATTAGCATAACCCCAGAGAGGAAACTGACAGGAGTCAGGGCTAACTTCCTGTTGGAGGACAGTCAGCTGGGCGGAAATGCTGTACATCGGATTACATTTAGGCACACACTATTTAAGAAAACCGGTTAATACAATTTCTTAAACATGTTTACAGGTCATCTTGAGGTGCACCGCTCTTGTCCGTGTCGGGGAGGGCGGCGCTCCAGCGCCCCCTATTGACCAGCAGCTATTGATGACATGACATGCAAGCAGTTCTAACCTCAACCCAGGTAACACACTTGTTCTGGCTACTTGACCAAGCTGGTGGCCAGCAGCATCAGAAGATTACAGGCTGATGTTATATAAACTGTTGAACTTCTAACGTGTCTTGTCTCTTCAAAAGTCCAATAAAAATACCAACAAAAGTTAAAACTAAAGAATCCCAAAGTATAAGCAGTAAATTAAAAGGAAACTATTTTCTACAGACACATGTCGGCTGCTCATAAAGTTTCAACAGCGTTCGACCCCAGCAGATAATCAGGACCAGATAATGTTACAGCAAAGTGAGTTTGATTTATACTATTGAAGAGTAACGTTTTGGCTTTCATACTGCATTTGGAAATGTTGTTAGACTTTTGGAAATCAGTTAGAGACAATAAAGAGATTGATGTTTGCCAATACTAACTGCATTGACAGCTAATTTAAAACACTAAAAACAGTTTAAAATGGCAACTCTAGTAACTTTTCTTTGTGTTAAAGTAGTAGGGAAAGAGCTGTGTGACGCCGATTGCTTTCTTGCTCTCATGGTGTGACATCACCTCCGCTCCATATACAATTTACATGTTTCAATGTACATCAGAGGCTTTTCTTTTTAATTAAAATAACATCTTGCCGTATTGCACACGTAAAGATTTTCAGATAAAAAAAAAGTTTAAAAAAACTGGTCATATTTGTAAAGCACATTTAACATTAATTGCATGTAACCAAAGTGATGTGAACGTTGGAGAAGACAGGTAAGCAAACCACTCACTCCTGATGCATAGCGATGAATAAAGTCACAAAGCAGCTAACAAATGTTGAGCTACACCTTAAGGGGGACTTACTTTACTCAAGGGTTAAATTCAGTAAAAGTGAAACCTTACATTTTTGTGAAGAGAAAGTGAATGTTGAATGTGGTAATTGTGAAACATATTAAAGAAAGAATCAAGTAAAATAGATGTCAGCAGGCTGAAGTCTTAAAAACTGTCCTCTAAATCTCCAGCTCTTTGGCGGCAGATTTAAAGAAAAGGGACATTATTCAAAGAAATAAACTAACTCAAGAATAGACCTGTACCTCTCACTGGCAGAACACATCAAAAACTAATTCACATATTTATCTGGCTCCGGTTTGCACTGTTTCACTGTTTCACTCGTCGCAGCTCATTCAGCTCAATTCACTTCCATTAAAATCATCTCCGTGTGGGTCATTCCCCCTCATTATCTCCAGGCCTTCACTATCTGGTCTCTATCGAACCGAACTCTTTTGAGGTCTCTTCCAGTGGATGCAGCTCTCCTCCCCTCAGTCACACTGAAGTGCAACCGTGCTGCAGGCGGGCCGCGCCGGCCCCAAACTCTGCAAAGTCTGGACACTTTGTGTACGAGACAAACTCCCCCTCCCTCCACACCTCCTCCCTTTCCTTCCCTCGTTCAAGAGAGATGAACTCTGGAAGAAACCCCCACTGGGGCCCTAACACCCCCCCTCCACCAACACCACCTTCACAGATACACACTCAACTTGTCCTGCCTGTGGCTTCGTACTCTCCACACTTCTTTTGTATATTTACATGTAGAGTCTGTTTTCTTTGTTTGTCCTACACTTTTTGTTTGTATTTCTTGCTCTGTCTTGAATATATTAATGGATGTTTCTCCCTATTTTTACAAGTGAATCTATTATTCTCCTTCCTTTCTTTGATGGTTATTTTTTGCAGGCGTCCCTCCAGTATTTACCTGTTTTTCTGTCTCAGACGCCGCTGGAAGCGGAGCTGCGCCACATCAGCCCGCTGAGCTCTCTCCACACCTTGAGACAATTAGCCTCCCTGCCTCACAGCACCCTGCCCCCTGTTGCTGTTTGAGAAAAGAAGCACATAAATACGCTGGGGGGAAGCGAATAAAAGGAATAGTTGGATCACTTTCCTGAAAAAAAAAAAAAAAAACACACACACACACACAAAAACAGGCTCACTCATCCTCCTCCATCCCCACAAAGCGAATCTCTTTGAAACGTAAAACACTTTCAAACAAGTTTTTATCCTTACTTTTCAAACATCCAACTCGCGAGAGGACGGAGTTGTTCTCCAATAAAAGTCCAGTCCTCATGTCAGATACAGACATATGAGACTGAACAATGGGTTTCTCTGTGTCTGAGCAAGTCCAGCAGCGGCCATTCGCAAGCGCAACGATATGGTCACAAATGTGAAGCAATGAAATGTGAGTGCAAGACTGCTGTTTGTGATATTCATGTGTGTTGGAATGTGCAGCAGAAAGAGTGGCGGTGGGTACGTGTGTGTGTGGGTGTGTGGGTGTGTGTGTGGGTGTGTGGGTGTGTGTGTGTGTGTGTGTAGACATGCTGACAATTATTTGTGTGCTTAAAGAGAGTGCATGTGATGACAGACAGAAAGGAAAACACACAAGTCTCGCTCTGAGCCTTTAGTTTCAAGTTACTATCACATTCACCTCACACACACTCAAAAACGCTCTCAAATTCAAAATACAACCAAGAACCAGATGTCACTGGCACAATAGTTACTGTCGTGTGAAAAAATTAGGGCACTCTATTAAACATTCAGCTCTTTATGAATAAACATGTTGACGTCCAGCCCTATTATTGTCTTTCTCTTCTGGCGAAAGTGATTTATTTGCATTTAACAAAGCATATCAACAGGACAGGTTAGGACACCCTGCCTCCTCACAGCTTGTCTTATGCAATAAGTGAGGCTTTTCTCATAGCCATTTACTTATCTCTGATATCAGCTTAAGAAAGGTTTGTCCTGCTCCTGACTCTCAGCTGTGAGACGCTTCAGGGTTTTTCTTTTTATGAACAATCACTCAGTTAATCCCTGGTGGATTTGCTAGCATACTTCAGGTCCCTGTCATGTTCTAGAGCCCAGTTCAGCTTTTGTTTCTTACAAGTGATCTCACGTTTTGTCTGATGCACAGCACGATTCACGACCAGGACTTGATGGAGCAACAATAAAATCTGCCTTGTAGTTTGCATGAGTTTTTCTTTGTCTTTTTCTGGGATGCTCTCTTTGGTTTTGGTTGCGTTTTCGTTTGGGTGTCAAGATAATTTGAAACTTATCAGTCCAAAGAATGCTCTCCACAAAGATCTGTTCTTGGTTTATGTTCTCTGTGGCAAACTTCAGTCTTATCTTCATGTCTCATAAAAGCAAAGGGTTTCCTCCCCTTGCACGCCTCTAATGAAAAGTAAACTTGTTCAGTCGCTTTCTTAGTGTACAGACGTCCACTTTCAAATCAACAGTACTATCAGTCCACTGGAGGTGCATTTTCGAGCATCTTGATCAGGCAACCAGACTAGGGGAGGTTTTGAATGTCCTCTTCTTGCAGAGGACTCTTCATACATTGAAGGAACTGTTTTGAAATTCATTACAGTCTTCTTTCTGAAGGCTCCAGAAAGCTCTTTATATCTCACCATGAAGTTCACACTCACTCCAGCCGCCAGGAGTGATTTAAACTAACTGTGAGATGTTTAGAAATGCAGATTAACAATGCTCTGATCATGTGCACCTGATGTTATACAGCTCTATAAAAAAATGAAGAGCCCACTGCACTCAACCCGACTGGATATGAACTTGTTTTCTTTGCATTATGTGACGTCTGACAGCGCTGCATCACTTTCGTTCTTTTGACTATTTCTCATTTTCTACAAATAAATACTAAATTTTTGCTTGGAATTTTGGACACATGCTGTCAGTAGATCATAGAATAAAAGAACAATATTCATTGTACTCAGACATTTACCTATAAAAACTAAAACCACAGAAATTGATCATTATAAGTGATCTCTTAAATTTTTCCACACGTGTGATTTTAGGTTTCAAGTGTGGATAAATGTAGACGTGTTCTAATTTATTCGTCTTATTCTATTATTAAATAATCAGAAACGGATCATTCAATACACCAACAGAGAACTTCTAGCTCTTTCCCCCCAGATTTTCTTTTAAATAAGTATTTCAGTATGCATCACCTTTTCTAAGTCCATGCATGATTCAGAACTGCTCCGGTGTCTCTGATGACAGGCATTAAAAAAGATTAATGTTATCCTAACCTGGTGATTTTATTCTACTTTTGCAGAAGTTCCAAGACGTTCTGGGCCGATGTCAAGGAGAACTTAAATGCATCTTTACCACATCCCCGCTCAGCAAGAACTTACTGAATCAGTGAACACACGTCAGGGTGCTTTTCATGTGGATAACCGCTAACTTCAGATCTGGAGATGTTTTAACGTTCATCTCATTAGGCAACAAAGTCTGGACTTGCACTCATGCTAATAAGCGTCTGGTTTGAATTCACTCATAAATCCAACTTTTACTGGGACCATGTACCCTTTGGTTCACATTGCATTAGCAAAAGAAGAACTTAATTCGAGCTTATTAGCTGCAGAGTTACTCATAATGAAAACCAAAGAATTTCCACCAACCTGGGCATGCAGCCACAACAACCTTTTATCACCTTTGGGATGTCTGCAAATAATAGGAGCTCTTGTTTCAATTTCCTTTTAACATAACATGAAGAATATTGAGCAAAACCACTAAACATCGTTCCTCTGGCTCACGTCTCCTTGCCGGCTCAAATCACTGAAATCAATGTTGTGAATGGCTGCAGATGTGACATAATGGACGAGTGTGAGTCCTTAGACATCTCCTTGTACCTGAAAGTCAAGTGACTCAATCCACATCAGATGAATAAGAATTTCTGAAAACATTCAAATTAATAAACGTAATAGAAACCTTGTGATCCCAAGGCCACACTCTGTCCTCTACCAGTGAGATTTAGAAAATTTATTGTACCATTTCCTCAGAAAAAGGACTTTGCTTGTGATTGAAATGTTTAACCTGGAGCCACTCTGTCACTATCAGAGATAAGCTCTGATCTGCCTCATTTTAATGTCACATTGTCTCGTCTTTTGCATTTCGGGTTTGGCCGAGAGGAGCTGGGTTGGTGTGTCATCCCATATTCAGACCCCAGAGAAGCAAAAAGTCACAGATTACTACTTATGAGTCATTGGACACTTGAATAACCTTAAAGAATTAGAATAGTAATAGCTTTGGTTACATTTATTTTAAAAAACGTTTTAAAAGTTCAACATAGCTTATTTTATAAAAACAAACAAAAAAAAAACATGTTATTTTTTAAAATAAATGTACTTTAGTAAAAGGTTTTATTGTTCTTAAACGTCAGTGTGAGATTGTGGTATTTGAATGACATGAATTTAATTGTAGGCATTTTACTCATATTTACCAGACGATCCAATACGTATAAAAATCCTCATAATTCTTTATAAAGTTAGTTTTTGGTGACTTGTGATATCCATATTGCTGTCAGCTGGGGGAGAACTTTGTTTAGCCTGTCTTTGTTAAATAAAATATATAATAGAGGAGAGGAGAGGAATAATTATTATTAAAAATAATTCCTTGTTTCTCACATGAAAACATTGCTCTAAGTTGGTTCATTCCTCTATTATTATTATTCCTCTGTATCAGATTCCGGTATCAGTATTTGTGACAATTTTAATCCAATATTAACCGTAAATTACTATGATCTGGAAAGAAAAAATAAAAATAAATGTATGATAAGAGTATAAATATTTATAGATCAGATAGATTTATGCATGTATAATGAGGGTTAAGACTTGAAAACAACTGAAAAGCTTATTTTACTATTGGCAATATTATATAATGTCATTTTTGAAGTTGGACTGATGAATGTTTTTGGCTAAAAATAATTAAGAAAACATGTTTTGTTTTTTCGTCTCAAACGTTCGCTGACTTGTAGATCCCACAGGAAGATTTTATTCTGGATAATAAGGCTCGTGTTGAGTTTTGTGCAAATTGTGAAAAGAAAAAAAAAAAGTATTTTTTCTACACAGATTTCATGTTTCAGATCATCCAACAAATCCAAATATCAGATAAAGATAACCTGAGTGTAAAATGCTTTGTTTTGCAGAAAATCTAGACAAAAATATAGATTTCATCCAAGAAGTTACAGAGTACATACCATTTAATTAATCCTTAGTTTGTTTATTCCTATTCATCAGCATACCAGGAGCCTCTCCTTTCTACATGTGACACTTATCTATTTAAATGTTGTCCCATTATCCTTCTATCTCTGCCTGAGCATCAGTAAAAGCACCTGAGGCAACATCTGAAAGATGTAATCAGACACTGGGAGCATGAAGCCTGCAGGACCGCCAGGCCTCCTCCAGAAGGACTCCAGAAAAAGAGTTCAGATCAGCAGATTAGAGGAGCTCAGTCAACATGTCGTACATATCGCACCGCTGATATGTGACTGACAGCAGGGGAGCCTCTCCAAACATATCTCAGTTTGAAGTAAACTTAGTTTACAGAGCCAACTTTATTATATCATCACTATGTCTTGTTTCTTTTCGTCATAACTTACATTTTTCTTTGTTTGTATGTGTTAAGTTCTCCTCAGATGGCAGCTATGTTTATTTATTTATTTTTAAAATATAAGCCTCATAAGACTTGGTTTCATCAGGGGGTTGAGGATCTAAATTTAGATGTTTCACTGTGAAATGGAAAAAGTTTACAGATACCAGTGATCCTCCTGGATCTTAGTTTTTTTTATGTATGATTTTATGTCCATGCATAACACGCATGTTGTGTTGTTGTCCTAAAGGCAACACACAGACTTTTCGTTAAGATGCAACATGAATCTTAATGTTTTTCACCCATCAATCTGTCCCTATTTTTATTATTTTATGTCCTCGGTTGAAGAAAATAAATTGTCAATGTGAAGAACAACAGCGCCCCCTGTGGTAGAAAAGGAATTACATGTGCAGAACAAAATGAGAAACTCTGTCATCTGCCTAAACTTTCCTGCTTGAGGAGAGTCCTGGTTCAAATATAAAGAGCTGGAGCACGTCCATGAAAAGCAGAAAATTACAAACAGGGACCACATTATGTTGACTGTTTTTCCAGCCTGCCTTCTTACTGGCCATCTGTCTGGTTTACTGCATGGAAAAAATCTCCTCTCCTCTCCTCTCCTCTCCTCTCCTCTCCTCTCCTCTCCTCTCCTCTCCTCTCCTCTCCTCTCCTCTCCTCTCCTCTCCTCTCCTCTCCTCTCCTCTCCTCTCCTCTCCTCTCCTCTCCTCTCCTCTCCTCTCCTCTCCTCTCCTCTCCTCTCCTCTCCTCTCCTCTCTCCTCTCCTCTCCTCTCCTCTCCTCTCCTCTCCTCTCCTCTCCTCTCCTCTCCTCTCCTCTCCTCTCTTCTTCTCTCCTCTCTCCACATATTTGCCCTGAGGACCCTGAGTTTCCTCTGTTCTGCGCCCCAAATAGCCAGTCAGGGGACACGCACATTCGACACACAGGCTCGTCATGTGCGTGGAAAAAGAAATTGATTTTCTTGCATCCCAACTTTCCCTTCCTCCATTTGAACATCTTATGGTGAACTCCAAAGTCCTCATAAAGATACTCTAGTGTTATACATGTTATATTTATTTCACTTATAGTCACAAGTCTTTTTGGGTATTATCCTACCAGCTTTGCATGTGCTGAGAAAATGTTTCCCATTCTTTGTTGCAGAATATCTCAAGGTTAATAATAATTAGATGACCTAGACTTTGATTGGACCATTCTAGCAAATAAATAAACTTTGATTGAAACATTGTGTTTCTGTCTGTGTGTCCAAAGTTGTTGTCCCACAGGAACACGAGCATCTCCCCCACTCCGGCGACGTTTATTGAGCCTGGAACATTTTTCACTCTCCTGTCCCCCAGCATGTTGCTGCCATCACCATGTTTAACCCCGGTTTGCTGTGTCCCCTACACACAGCAAACCGTGCAGAAATAAAACTGAGAGAACGTTGCTGTGGAAGACCAGATGAGTTATTTGTCAACTTACACAACGCAGCCATCTCTTTGGGAAGGTCCGCTCCGAAACGTCCAAACAGGTGACTGCTGGCCAGCAGGTCAAAAGGTGAGTGACCCCTCATGGAGTTAAAGGTGAAGGGGTACATGGCACGAGAGAATCCCGTCATGTGACGCATTTGGTGCTCTCTGTTTGTTGCCATTGTGAAAAAGTGTTGCTGCTTATTCATCTTGATTTTGTTTCGGTTCTTCTCCTTCGTCTTCCTCTTTAGCTTCTTTGTCAGGGACGTATGGCGAGTTTGAATCGGGGTAGTGCCATTCAGCCCCACTCAGCTGCTGGCTGCTCTTCTGTTCGGCCGCGGTGAAGGAAAGTCCTGTTCAGGTCCGAATGCTGCAGAGAAAGAAGCAGATAGAGGCCAGAAGGTTCATTTCTGTAGGACTCAAGTTAAAATGGGAAATGTTTGTCAAATGAAATAAATAATATATTACTGGTTTAAATAAATAGCTATTTTAGTCACGTAAAACAATAATAATGATAATAATAATGAGCATTTTTTCTGGCCTTTTCCTGAATTCAAAACATGCTGTGTCATCATTTCCACCTGTAGATGGATCAACAGTGTTTTTGTGGAATTATGTATGCTAAAATTCCCCATTCATTTAACACTAGTTTCAATTTATATTGCATTTAGTTAAAGAACAGCTGAACTTTATTAGGAACATAGTGTATGTTAAGTCAAATAAAACATAAAGCTATAAAAATGATTAGAGAACGCTTCGGCTCAGGCATCTGAACAAAGAAACAGCTAAGAGAAACTGGTGCGTACTTAGCATCATAATTTGTGTGGCAGTCGGTTCAGGTTAAAATCTCACTATTGTGAACCGTAAAACACTGATGATATGCAGGATAAATCCCAGTAATTCACATGTGAAAGAGATTATGAAGGATATCTGGGAACAGGGCCGGAGGCATCGCTGAAATATTAAAAGAGAAAAACGACAACAAAGAAGATTAAGAGCAAAACAACGAAGACGAGCAAGATCAAGCGGAAACAGTGGGGGCAATATTGTGTTGCCTTTTTTTTTTTTTCCAATATTTCGACTAGTAAAGTAATTTCAAGCATACCATATGATTTCAATCAGCAGAAGTGTATCATAAAGGGTCCCTCTGTTTCATTTGCCAGCCTGACTCCAGCCAGCCAACCCACAAACAGTCAGCCGCAACTTGGGCAATTTTAACCCTTCGCTAGAACAAACACACATTAGCCTAGCATTCTCGCACCATACACAGGCCCAACCTCATCTGCTTTGCTGACAACTTTCTGATGAGAACATCTGCTCCTAAATCTTCCTTTGTTTGTTTCCCAGGAGTCACATTGTGGCTTATAACTCTGTCAGAAATGCTTAATGTGCAGCACTTCCTTCATCTTTCTCTGTAACTCCTGCCCCCTTGAGTGAATTTATGAGTGGGTGGGGTTAAGCTCTCTGTGGTGAATCTGTGGTAAATACAGCTTGGCCAAAGAATGTCTTGTTGTTTTGGGTCTGCATGGGAATCAAACACCCAGGGTGGATGAGAGGCAGTCAGAGAGAATAATGGCTTTACACATGTCTTACTTTCAATAACTCCAAGTTGCACTTCAAATAAACAGAATAAATTTTGCTGAGTTAAAACAAACAAAGAAACAAACAAACAATTCTTTCAAAATGAATGCATGGGTGCAGGCTAAAACATAAATCTTTTGACTCTAGTGACAGACTAGACTCACACAAACAGTAAACTCCACTCACCCTGACAGCTCTGATTGAGGCTTGATTTCAGACCGAGTACAGATGTAAAAACTATTAGACAGCTGTTAAAAAAAAACACACAAAAAAAACATGACTATAATTAACAAATGACATATCACTTAATGCCATTTGCCTTTAGTTTAAACTAATCGCTAAGGAAAGCTTAAACACTTAGTAAAAGAGGGAGAATCCTGGTTCAAAGTGGTTTTCTGTGAGGAGTCCTGTTTCTATTCAAAACTATTTGAATGCATGAGGGGAACTATTGTAAGTCCTGCCCCAGGTCAGCATCCTAATGAAGGATGCTGACGGTGTTTTGAATAAGTATTCACACCCCATGAACTACAAATGTAAAGATAATCACACCTGCATTACGACAAATTCGCCAAGAATTTAC